CACCAGATTAAGAGACCTCTATAAAAGATTTATCAATAATTTCTAGTAAATGCATTAATGGATGATCACTAGTTTTATTTCCTATGACTGTTTTGTTTTCTCACAAATCTAGAACATTCTGCTAAGTTCCCAAAACGCCACAAAACCGTTATTCCAATGCGACCAAAATGCCCCTTTTAATTTTTGAATTATTTCTGTATTCAACTGACACCAAAAGTGGGGGCAAAATAATTACTTTTCACCCCTTATTGTGATATCTTTTGGAATGGTATAAACCAATTTTCAAAAAATCGTAAGGGATCCGACCTAGGGCCAAAACCATAATTTTTTAAAATATCCTGGATAACTCAAGCCGGCCAAAACCGGCTGATATTGCATCACTCAAGCAGAGATAACACCTATATATCAAATGACCAAAACAGGCCAGATAATCCAATCCTTCTTTATGGTATAAATTGGGTAGTATTGAGTGTTTTTTTTTTTTGGAAAATAGGATTTTTTTACTGTCATGATGGACTGACTTGAAATAGATCATTATTACCTGAAGGACAAATCCCTAAATTTTGTAATTTTTTAATTTTTTTTTCCAAGTTTGCAATGTTATAACGTTATAACGGAATGACCCAAAAATAAGTCGTTATTACCTGGAAATACGGATTCTCAAATTTTTTATTTTTTCCCAAGTTTGTGATGTTTGAAACATCCGACTACTGTATTTATGCTCTCTAAAACTTTGCTCTCTTCTTTCTCTCTCTTCTCTCTCGCATGCTCGCGGGGCATGTCAGAAAATTGGAAGTTTTATTGAAAGGGGCTTTAATTTTCTTACTTGGAATGGGCCGAGGATCACTACTCTTTCCTTTACCAAAAAAATAAAAAATAAAGAAACAACAAAAAGAAATTGTCAATAACCTTTCATAGTAGGTGGGTTGTAAGGAATTGGTTTGGCTTCTGTTCTCAGAGAACGCCAAATCCTAGTTTCTCTTTCTACGCCCCTACTCTCTAGAAAACATTAAAACCCCAAATCCTAGCAACCCACCTCCTCTGAGAGGTGATTGACAATTTCTTTTTATTGTTTTTTTTTTCTTTTTTCTGTTTTCGGGAGTGGGCGGAAGGAAAGAGCAATGATCCTCGTTCCATTCCAAGAGAGAAAATTAAAAGCCCTTTTCAATAAAACTTCCAATTTTCTGAGATACACCGTGAGCATGCGAGACGACTTTCAGTTTTTTGACATACACCGCGAGCATGCGAGTCAGAAGAGAGCAAGTGGATAAAAATAAAACAGTCTGATGTTTCAAACATCGCAAACTTGGAAAAAAATGAAAAATTTGGAGATTGTCTTCCCAGGTAATAACGACTTATTTTTTAGTCATTTCGTTATAACATCACAAACTTGACAAAAAATTTAAAAAAATTAGGGATATGTCCTTCTAGGTTTTGGAGCATTCCGTTATAACATTGCAAACTTGACAAAAAATTTAAAACATTAAAGGATCCGTTCTTCCAGATAATAACTATCAATTTTCGGATCATTCCATTATGATAGTAAAAAAAATCTACGTAAATTTTCCAAAAAAAAAACACTCATAGAAGCCAATTTATATCATTAAAAAAGATTATCTTGCCTGTTTTGGTCATTTGGTATATAGGTGTCATCTCCACTTGAGTGATGCAATATCGGCCTGTTCAATGCCGACGGTTCCGGTTTGCCGCTTTGAGTTATCGAGGATCATTTAAAAAATTCGGGTTTTGGCCCTTGTTCGGCTCCCGAGGTTGCTTCAATTTTTTGAACAGTAGTTTATACCGTTCCAAAATATTGCACCACAAGGGGAGAAAGTTAATTATTTTGCCCCGACTTGGGAGCAGGAGTCTGTCACTCTATAAGTATCCCCTTAAAAGATTTTGGGATGTACTTTAAGTAATAATAGCTTATTTTCGAGTAATTTCATTATAACGAAAAAATATCCAGTCCGTACGTAACCTTTTCATTTTCAAGGTGGAGAGGGCAATGTGGTAATGCTGTAGTCATTGCATGGCATATATAAAGGAAAAAGTTTATATAAGGTTGCAAATTTAAAATGTAGAATTATAGATGCACCTCAAAAATCCATCGAAAAAAATTGCTTTAATGTTGAAAAATCCTTTAATTGATTATCTCGACATCGAGATCTATGAATATGAAAAAAAAAAAAAACAAATGATTTTGAGTCCCGAAAATAGTACATCTTACAATATATTATCTAGACCGTTCATTTTTAAGATTTTCATATGTTTATAGATCTACTTGATTTTAATCATTTTTGGAGTTTAAAATTTTATAATTATATATGAAAATAGATTTTGAGATATTCCTAAAAGGTAATTTTATCAAAATTACATGATAAAATTTGGATGTGCGCTTTAATTGGATTATTTAAGATTGCAACCTTATAGTAAAACTGTAAAACAAACAAGCAGAAAGGTGTGAGCTTTTACCTCAAGATGATAGAAACGATAAAGACCGCCACGGGGATGAGATTGGAGACTGTTGCAGAAAATGTAGAAGACGTGTAATAAAGCCCTAAAATGTAGCAGTTTTGTGTCACTGTGATCCTGCAATTTCGAGGATGGTTAGTAGAGCGCAAAAATAAACCATGAAAACTCAAATCCAATTACCCTAATAGCCCCAGCAAAAACATATGCCAAGTTTGTTTCAATCCTGATGGAGGTCTAATCTTCCTGCAAAAAACCCAGAAATTGGCAACAAATAAAGAGATAGAAATATGTGTAAGCAAACATAAAATAATAGAAATTGGACTTGATCTCGAGTGGTTAATTTTTTTTTTTAGTTTTTTCGTTAGTTTTAGTTTTAATTTTAATTTTAGTTTCCCTACTAACTAAAAAACAAAAAAATTTAAATTCAGTTTAAGAAAAACAAGGGGTACTTTTTTAAAAAAAATAAAAAAGTATGGGGATCTTTGTGATTTTCATCTGTAAAATGGAGCATTTCATATTTTATAAAAAAAATTTGGGGTCCATATATAAATCATTCTAATAGAAATTGCGTTTGGGCTTAAGTGATTAGCAGATGCCGACAAGCAATGATACATCTTAAGTTCACTTCCTACTACTGAACTACCCAAAAAAATAAAAAAATAATCGCGACAGACGTATAGAACAGAGCATTGCAGAGAGAGATGGAGGTGCCTACCTCTCAGCGAAGTAAGTAAATGGGGCAAGGGCCAAGGTGGCCAGGGCAGCTCTGTAAGTAACATAAATGAAGCTATTCATTCCTCGAGTGAGGGCGACCTTGTTTGTAAGGTACATACCAGCGTAAAACACACGTATAACGATCTGAGCAATAACAGGCCACATTTCTATCTCTTCTCGACTCCTTCTGCACAAAACCAGAGTAAGAAAAATGTTTCTTGCTCAATTGCATTACAGCCGATGCAATTTCTATGACGTGGTGAGGATCAAAATTGCTTCACTCTAATGGGGGAGGCTCTCCTCTGAAATTAGTTCATGGAAAATCATGGTGGGAGAAGAGTTGCAGAGAGGGAGTGGCGTGAAGAGAATGCTGTTTTAGAGAGAGAATGTGGAAGTGAGGGAGAAGAGTTGAATATAAACAGATGGCAATGAATGTAGAGAGAGAGAGATAATAACTAAAAGATAAGAAAAAAAATTGAAAAAATTAAGCTGGAGATTGATCAAATCCCACGAAAATAGAAAGAAACAGTCTTCCTAAGGAAAACATGCTCACGGTTGATGTATGCATCGATGATGCATGGTACGCATCTCTCAAGTTCAACGTGTTGCGTCAAAACCAAACTCGGGATTTTGTCTTTATCATCCACGTCGAGCTCAAATTGAACACGGGAAAGTAGACTTGGACATAAAAAACAACGCTATAAAAAAGGAAAAAGAAAAAAATTATATACGGTTTCAAAACTCGCAGCCTTATTATCTTCTTCTATATGTAAAACACTTGTGGGTTTGTTACCGCATGTTGATCAAGAAAGATCGGAGCTAGGTTATAACGCAAGGGTAAAGAGAACGCCATTAGGTTTGGATGGAGCTTTGGGAGATACTGTCCATGGGAAGTGTATATTATGTATCGGGGTAATATAAAAAGTAGAGAATACTGTAGGTTATTACGGATGTACTAAATAGTTTCTGTTATTGTATGCATATCTATTTTTTACTATTTACAACTTAATTTTTTAAAAAAATATCTTTATCTTTCTTCGGATGTTGAACATCTGAAAATAGGCCGAAAGTGTAATATTCACATTCCCATTTTGGGGTGTTGAACACCCAAATTGAAGGGTTTTTCAGATGTTCAACATCCGAAAATATCTTGAAAGTTAAACGTTCACATTTCGCAGTCACAGTTTGCAGTCACATTTTCGGATGTTAGACATCCGAAAATGTAATTTTTAGATGTTCATCATTCGAAAATGATAGCGAAATTATAGAGACCTTCAAGAAAGTCGTATTTTCGGATGTTGAACATCCGAAAATGTGATATTTTCAGATGGGATGTCCAACATACGAAATCATTTTCGGATGTTAAACATCCAAAAATGTCATATTTTCGGATGTTCAATACCCGAAAATGGGAATATAAACTTTCGGCCTATTTTCGAATGTTCAACATCCAAAAAGTAAATAAATAAAAACAGAAGGAGGTATGTATGTAATTTTCAGATGTTCAACATCTGAAAATGGGTATGTATGTAATTTTCAGATGTTCAACATCAAAAAAAGGTAAAGTTGTCTTTTTAAAAAAATTGTTTTATAAAAAGTAAAAAACGGACATACATGTAATAATGAAAACTATTTGGTACATCTGTTATAAGAAAAATATAACGGATATGTATGTAATTTTCCCTAAAAAATATATATTGCAATTAGTATTTATGGGAAGGGTTGATAAAGTATTTGTACTTTATTAGAAGTTTAGGTATGGTTTAGGTATCTATGATTTAGTTTTTAGTATTGTCATTTATAATTTGTCTATAAAAGACAAATATGTACATTCATATGATTAATGGACACTGAGTCTCTTCAGATAAACTTAAGACTCTTCACATATACAATTGTTACTATGATCTTTATAAGACAAACTTTCTATAATCTAGTTTGGATGCAACTTTGGGAGATACAATTGTCACTATAATCTCTATATTCTCTTACAACATAAAATTTATATACTTCTCCTTATCCAACCGTCCATCCGGAATGGAAGGCTAAGATTGCCCTAATCACAATGTCAAGCTGCCAACTGCACCCATATATTATTAATGTCATAATTTCTTAAAAAGCAACATATTTCAATGAAATTTTATAGTAAAAATTCAATTTAGATAAATTTTATATTTATTTTATTTATCAATATTTTAATTTAAAGACTTGAAATTTATAGAAAAATTTAATTCTTGAAAAATTAAATCATAATTAGGAATAATTTTGTTCTATAGGCATAATTTTAAAAACTCACTTTTTTATAATTTTAATTAATAAATCTAAATATTAACAACTATAAAATGAAATTTATAATTAAGAAATATTATCAATTAATATTAGTTAAAAATATACTATCGATTATTATTAATATACAAAAAAAGTTCAAATCTACGAGTAGCTTTAATCACAAATAACCACTTAGGTGTCGTTTGGATACTTGGAAATACATTTTCATAAATGTCTTTCCAGTAGAGATGGCACTTTTCTGGCATTTGGATCAAAGTTTGGGACTGAAAAGTATTTCCGCTAGTAATTTTTTTCCTCATTTCAAGCTATAAATAAAGAAATCTGTATTATTGTCTTTACCCTCCGAAATTGATTTCCAGCCAAATTTCCCCGTTGCGGAGATGTCCACTTTATAAAATACAATTAACTCCACAAAACACCCCCACGAAATACAGAGACAAAGTATCTCAAATTTTACATTTTAGAGAGGGAAAGCATCTTAAAATTTTAGAGAAAAAGACTATTTCTAATTTTACAAAGGAAAACTATCAAAAATATTTAGAGAGAAATTATGTCAAAGTTTTTAGGGAAAATTACTAAAAACCCCTCCAAATACACTATCTATGCAACTTACCTCCATCCAGACCTTTTATCTCAAACCTTTTATCTCACTTTTTTCTCAAAAGTATACTTTCTATGTAAATACCCCTCCAACAAAAAAAGTTCATTTTTTTTACGGAAATGCCCTTCCTTATACAAAATGCCCCTTTTTTTTCATGGAAATGAGCTCCGGCAGTCTCAAAGGGCGCTTCGGCCATACATGCTTAGAGCCACAGCGCTCCGGAAGTTGCATAGGGCGCTCCGACACTGAAGACACAGCGCTCCGGCAGTCTCAAATGGCGCTCCGGCAATACATGCTTTGGAGCTACAGCGCTCCGGCAGTTGTATAAGGCACTCCGACACTCGAGAGACATCGCTCCGGCACTCGAGAGACATGTGCTCCAGCAATGTATGTTCTTGAGACGACAGCAGTCGACATTTGCAAAACGTGCTCCGGAAGTCCTTGTTCTAGAGACGAGGCACTCCGACAGTTGAATAGGGCACTCCGGCGATACTTGTCATGGGGTGGGGGTGGGGGGGTGGGGGGGGAGGTGTTTGTAATTTTCCCAAGTTTTTATAGTGAGAAACTATTTCAAATTTTGAGTTTTAGAGAGAGAAAATATCTTCTTACCCCAGTGCGTTGTTCGGAATGTGTCAGTCAGTGTCCCACTCGTCTTAATGATTACTTGTATTCCCAACCTCGCACACACTCGTCTGTCACCAATACGGCTTCACTCAGACAACCTCCATCAGACAATGTTTCTTCTGGTAAACCCTATTCCATTTCCCATTTTATTTCAGATTCCAACTTTTCTTCATCTCACCGTATTTTTTTGACAAACCTTTGTTCTAATAATGAAGCACAAACTTATGCACAAGCTGTCAAACACTCCCACTAGCATGATACCATGGAAGCTGAGCTTAAGGCTCTTGATCTCAACAATACTTGGAATGTTTAATTCTTGCCACTGGGGAAACACCCCATTGGTTGTAAATGGGTGTACAAGATTAAGTACAAGGCAGACAACACTATCGATCGCTACAAAGCATGTCTTGTTGCGAAGGGCTGTACCAAAATGGAAGGGTTGGACTATCATGAGACATTCGCTGCCGTAGCAAAGTTAGTTATTGTGAGATGTCTTTTAGCCATAGCTGCTACAAAGGGCTGGAAATTACATCAATTAGATGTCAATAATGCATTTTTGCATGGGGATTTGCATGAGGAAGTATACATGGAACTTCCACTTGGTCATCCTCATAAGTGGGAGCATCTAGTTTGCCGATTGCAGAAGTCTCTATATGGCCTTAAACAGGCCTCTCGAATTGGTGTGACAAATTTTCCTAAGCACTCCATGATGCCGGATTCAAACAATCCATTACGAACTATTCTCTGTTCACATCCAATGTCGGTCACTCTGTTACAATTGTTTTAGTTTATGTTGATGACGTGATTATCACTAGCAATGATACCAAAGCTATTTCCTCATTGAAATTTTTTTTGCAGTCTCAATTTCATCTCAAAGATATACGATTGCTAAAATACTTTCTTGGCATCGAGGTTGCATGATCTACTAGAGGGATCCTTCTCACTCATAGGAAATACGCCTTGGACATTTTGTCTGACGCTGGTTTCCTTGGTTGCAAGCCAGTATCCTTCCCTATAGAGCAACATCACACACTTAATAATGATATAGGTCAACTCTTAATAGATCTAAGACAATATTGTCGTCTGGTGGAACGACTTATATACCTTACTATCACACAATTACTTATGTTGTGCACATCTTGAGCCAGTTCATGCACAAACCATGGATACCTCATCTTGGAGCAGCTCATCGTATCTACGTTATTTAAAACACAGACTCACACAAGGAATTTTACTTTCCTCCACCAACAACCTGCAACTATCTGTGTTTTGTGATTCCGACTAGGCGAGTTGTCCGATGAGCTGACATTCCACCACTGGATATATAATTTTTCTTGGCAACAGCGCTATATCATGGGGCACTAAGAAGCAAAAGACCATTTCTCGTTCTTCTGCAAAAGCAGAATATCGCTCCATGGCTACCACTGCTTGTGAGCTCACTTGGCTCAAGTATCTTCTTCTTGACTTGGGCATACGACACTTGCAACCCATGCTCATCTATTGTGACAACGATGCAGCACTACACATTGCAGCAAATCCTGACTTTCATGAAAGGACAAAACATAACGAGTTGGACTATCACCTTGTTCGAGAGAAAACTCAAAGCTTCTGAAATCAACTTAACTCTCCACCAAAAATCAACTTGCAGATATTTTCAACAAGTCTCTTGGACAGGATCAATTTCATTCTTTACTGCACAAGCTGTGTGTCTCGTTCCTCCATAATCCAGCTTGAGGGGGAGTATTGAGGATTGTTCCTAGTTGTTGATATTTACTTGGACTTTACTAGTTTGTAGAGATTGATGGACTTTCCTAGTTTGTATAGATATTGTGTTGGCCATATCTACTTTCCTAGTTAGTAGAGATTTACTTGCCTATATTTATAACATTCTAGTTTGTAGAGATTT